AGACTCTGTATGTTTATTTGGGGCCAAACAGATGCAGGATGGGGCAGGGCAAAAAACCCTCTCGTCTACAAAAATGAGATGTTAAAAAAAAGTAAATACAACAAACTTCTGGTTCTGCCATGTCATTCACTTCCTCTACCTGACCAGAATTAATAAGGTTCTTGCCAAACAACCACAGTCAAAAAAATTTACATGTGATTGTTGCTCAAATCTGTGACCTGCAGGTGTAGTGGAAACAGAACGGTCTTGCTCAACAGGACACTCCTGCACATCCCTGTACCCGTGTCTAGAATCCGGCAATCAGGAGGCCATTTCTCAAACCCTGTCTTTAATTCCACACAGGTCAATGGCAACCCCATGAAGCTTCAATCAACCGACGCCTGTCACAGCCAACTTTCCAAGGTGGCTTCTGTTCCCCTTCCTTGCCCAACAGCTAAGCATGAATTTGTTCAACATTTCGCCTGCCTGTTATTTCTTTTATTACTTATGAAACTCCATGAGGTAAATACAGTTATTCTGTTCATTATTTGCATGACAGCAAGGATCACAGGCCTGCAATGGATGAAGGTGAAGTGGAGCTTGGTACCGAGGCGCCAACCCAGTGTTTCTTAGCTCTATTCTAGAGCATTCTGCCGTAGAGCGGAGCTCTCAGACTCTGCACTTCCCAACATAAAACCTTGCTTTTTCGTACCCCACATCCCACTCTCCCTCCATCCCTCTTTTCGTCAGCCATTTACACCAGTTGGAAATCTGAATCATCCAAAACAGCTCATTTGTCCTCTCCACCTCGCAGGACTCAACCTTCTGAGGACTGCTGTCGACCCATGCGCTCCATACTTTAAGGAGTTTTGAATCAGTATCGATGTTCTTGTTCTTTAGGATCAGGGAAGGTGGTCAATAACTTAAGTCAAGAAGAGGTCAGTGCATAAATCTTGAAGGTGTTTGATAAACGCTGGATGAATTTAAAATCGCCTCTATGACAAATACAACGAGTGAAATTAATACGGTGTGCATTGTCAGGAGGCAACCCTCTAAGTAACGACCTCAAGACTGAAGGTACCACTTAGCTTTCTGGGGCAGCCTTCAATCTAGAATCAATCCTCTGGCTAACTATGTACTAAGGACACATTTGTGTATTTGGACCTAGCAGGTCACAGTGCAGACAAGTGTACATAGTTAGGAAGGGACTTATGTGCTCAGACAATACCGGGACATATGGAGGTTTTAGGTCTGCTGGATTCAAAGTTACAACTGGAAAAGTCTCATGAGATGGGGAGTGAAAAGAAAATGTACTCAGTTGCTAATCTTCCTGGTTCTGAGTTTGTGTTCAGCAAACACTCTGCAGACTCAAATGAACATTAAACACTGTTTTGGGTACCATGAATGATGCTCTCATGCTCTCTCTCTCTCTCTCTCTCTTTCTCTCTCTCTCTCTCTCTCTCTCTCTCTGTGTGTGTGTGTGTGTGTGTGTGTGTGTGAAGCACCTGAGAAGTTTCCAGTGTCAGAAAGAATTTTACATTTGTCTATATTTAAATAGAGAGGATGGGCCAAACTTGATCTCTTATTTATTATCCAGAGAATTCATCAACATTTCTTCAGAGCTTATAAAGATACATGGAGATCTAGGTTAGAATCTGAAACATTTCTGATTGTCAGTGTTTTGTTTTAAAGGCTAGCCCATGGGAGAGAGGATGGGAGCCACAGGACGGCACAAGGCAGGTGTGAACTAATTGGTAGCAGGTGTCAAGCATTAGAGGCACTAGTGTAGCTTTTCTGCTCACCACAGGGCCTGGCATCCAGCCACAGGCAAGCTTTGAATACCTAGATCGTGGCTTGCACAGATCACAGGTTCCATGGCCCTGTACTTTTCTAGAGGGAACACTGGAGCTGTGTGCGACAATGACCTCTCATCAGATGGAGCTACTTACACAGCTTGATTCCTGAAATCTTTAGGTGTCACCTCCAACCAAGAAGTCTTAGCAGATGATTACTAGCCTAAACACTGTAGCAGACAATGTCCAGGTTAAACACTACCCAGGCAAACACAGGAAAAACCACATTGTTCAGTGAGTTTTGTAGGTGAGTGGTGAGACCAGGGAACAAATCACCAGGACATCACCTGGTACAGACGGGGACCCCAGCAGTAGGTAGACTCTGCAATGACAAGAATGGCGTCTAACACCCAATCAGGAGAGCTGAGAAAGCAGTGGGCCACATGGAGTTGTAGAACATTAATGTCAGACACTGACTGAGCTTTTAAAAATAGAGATGTCTAGTCTATCATCCCCTATCTATCCTAATGTCAGAAGCAGCAGAGGACCATACAGTCCAAAATGAAAAAACAAAAACAAAAACCAAAAGCAAAAGCAAACACACAAGAAGGTGTAGCACCCACTTGGAAATCTTCTGACCCTGTTAACACTGAGCTTATATACCCTGTTGCCCATTTGTGGCTGACGTATTCAAAGGATCAGAGTTTAAATAGCAAGTGTCCTCTCACCCGTCTTATACATCGCTGTGGCTTCCACAGAGGGAAAGAAGGAAGTGTGCCTCATCCTATGCCCATGAGAGTGAAAGTGTTCTTGAAATTTCTCTTGTAAGAAAAAAAATCTCTGTTCTTAGTAGGATGAAGTGGAAATAAAGTAAGACAACAGAAAGACAAATGGAATTACCTTACAGAAAAAAGGATTACTGATTAAATGCAAATAAATTGAACAAGGTTACTAAGCAACACAAATACCATGTACATGTGTAATTTTTATGATTTTTAAAAAGTCACGAACTACAAATAAGCAAAGTGCTAACAATAATTTGTCTAGAAATGACTTCTAGGGGGACTCAGGAAATCATTTGACCAAAATCCACTCCTGCGGGTCAACAAAAACATTTATTTTTGGTTCGGAAAGCTCAACCTGTCTAACTTTTGTTTGGGTATCAATAAAGTGCCATTTGACCAAGGAGAAAGATGAACATGCCAGCTGAAACTACTGCTACTTCTCCAAGATTCCAGAAACCAGGCACTGGAAGCCCCTCTTTGAAGGGTGAGGATTTGCAAACCAAAGTGTGAATGTGGGGACACAGCATTCATGATCTGCATGGGTGAGGTGTGCCTTTTCTCTCCCTATGTCTCCCAGAGTGCACAAGTCCCTAGAAGAGCATTCCCTTCCATGCTAAGAAGAGAATTTTTATATATTTATGTGTTCCATGTGTCTTTTTGAGTCACCTAGACATGTAGGAACTGTAGAAACAGAAGACAGTGTCAGAACCTCTAGTTCAGTAGTTACAGGTGGCTCTAAGTTGCTGTGTGGGTGCTGGGAACCAAACCAAGGTCCTCTGCAAGAGTAGCGAGTGCTCTTTACCACTGAGCCATCTCTCCAGACCCAGCAGGTAAATTTTTATGGACTATATGCGTTTTAACTCTTTAAGGCCATAGTCATACAGCCTTGCTACTTCAATACAGTCCACTGACCATCATCATTACCAGGATAGGAACGATCAATCTGGGGCCCAATCTGGGTGTTTCTTGTGTATTCACATGCTAAGTGGACTAAAAATACCCATTACTTCTTGAATTAGTGCTTCTTTCCCTAGAAGCTAGAAGTTAGGCTAATGCTAAGATAATCTGAACATTAAAATAAATGACATTAGGGCATAACACACTAAACATAATTCATGAATTCATATTTATATCAAGCAAACAAGATGGGACAGAAGAGGTTCTTATTTATGAAAACTTCTCTGAGGAGTGAAGGATCACAAAAGTCGCCATTTTGCACCAACGTTACTGCTTCAGGCAACAATTTCCTGGGATCATAAACAAACAGGTAAAAGACGTTGGGACATGGGGTATTCACATAGTTTTACAATATTTGTCCATGCAAATGCTACGGTTCTACAAAACAAAATCTTACAGTGTAAAATTGTGAGTTACAAAGTACTTACTAGTATTGTGTACTAATGAGGAAATGTGGAAAACATTACTTAAAACCAAGGGCTCAAAGTTACCACCACTAGTGAGGCTACACTCTGATATCACACATCTCACAGCTGCTAAGCTGATGATGCGTTTACAAGGACACATGGATGTCTATGTAACATTTCTGCCCAAAGTGCATCTTAATTCCAATAATGGGGCAAGGTAAAGCAAGCCCCCAGAAGGGCCACTTAATGAAAAAAAAATAGCACAGTCTTTAGAAAAATATACATTATAAAGATTAAAGAAACATGATAACTAAATGTAATGTGTGATTCTGGGTGGGCTCACAGACTAGGACTCCAACTGTTGGTGCTCTGATTACAAAGGATGGGCATAACTTAGAAGGATGTACACATCAGGCTGTACTGTATCCATGTTACGGTCCCTGAACTTAGCAATAAATCTCCTTCTTGGGTGATAAAATTGAAGAATTTAGAAGAACTGTACTTGTAAAGAACTGTGAGGATTATATTAAGATATCCAGAACAGAGAGGCAGAGTGGAGTGGTGGCCTGAGAACACGTAGCAAATTCAGTGGGAAGCATGGGTCGTTCCTTATTTGTGACTTTTCCATGGACTCTGAATTTGTCAAAATAAAACTTGGAAGAAAAGTGAGATATTAAACACCAACAGGGTGACAAATGGCCTCTGTCCCCAGAACCTTCTAGTAGAAGAATCTGACCACTAACTGGATCTCGCTCTGCACTGAAGCGATCTTGTGGCTGGTTTATTAGAGATAAACGGCAGGCTGGAATGATCCCTCCTGCAGAGACTGTTCGTAAGGGGAAAGCTCTTTCCAGTCAAAAGCCCTCCTTAGTCAATACGCCTCCTAATCTGGTGTTCAGTGTGCTAGGCCGTGCCCTCAGCACAGGAAACACGGCGGAGAATCAGATTCCTTGATGGGCAGAATTTACAGTCTGATGGAAGAAGACAGAAAATAAGGAATGCAAGTCAGGCAGCAATAGTGCTACAAAGGAGGATAAAGTTGAGGGAGGGGAAGTTTGGGGAAGTGGTATTTTAAAAGGGCTCCCTTCAGCAGCATACATGCTAACACTAGAACGACACAGAGAAGAAGACATGGCCCCTGTGCAAGAATGGCCCAAAAATCTGCAGTGTTCCCCTACATTTTTTTTTAAAGGGGAGGGGTTAGAGGACTCTAGTCAGATCACACTTAGACAAGACATGAGCATGTTCAGGCTCTCACTGAGCAGATGGATAGTGGTGGGAAGTACAACAGCAGAGAAAATCCTGAGCCAAGGGCTGAAGGTGAAGGCTTCCAGATGAAACAGTCAGGGGTAAGGTCACACAGCCACTCCTAGGTCACTGCTGAGACACTGTCATTTATTCTGACAACTATATTGCTTCCTCCCACCTTCCCCGGCTACTCAGCGGCCTATTGCTCTGGACAGCTGGCACAGTACTGTCCTAAGGAAGGGCCTGGCCTTCTTTGCTCCCCTCAGTTAGTGAGACTCTATGGAGGGTTTCCCTCCCCACCTATCAGTCACCTCAGGAGACGCCTTCCTCCTGGTACATTCTCTGACACTTTTGAAATCCTCAACCCCGAAAGTTTCTCTTGGGAGTTCTGTTTGCTCTGAAAGTGTCTAGTCAAGGGTGGTTTGTTTGCGTGTATTTACAACCTCCAGGGTTTCTTTCCACAGAAGCCACTCTCCTTCCGGGGTGCTCCGTATCATTCTCCTTCAATCCAGCTTACTTTTCTTCTCCATCTGAACTCGGCTCTGCAGGCAAACAGTGTCCTGTTCAGTCTGCGGTGATGATCACTCAAGGAGCCAGACCCTAGCAATTCTTTGGTATCAGTGGGGCTGTTGTTTACATCAGGGATTAAGAAGTCAACCTTTTAATAATCTGACAGGAGTTGCTGAAGTGCTGGCTCAGCATGCCTTCCAGTTGCTGTTAGCCTTAAGCACACCACTAGGGTTCGGGTACAACCCAGGGCATGGTGCGGGCCAGGGAGCACAGCGCGCCTCAAGCCTTGGATACCGATCATGATACAGGAAACCATACATCAGATAGGTGTGTGCACAGCCAGAGAAAGTCCACCAACAGCAGTTTACAGCATTATTTCTATAGGAAGAACAAATTCTGAGCTTGGCTCAAGTAATTAACTTACTGATGAATTTCGGCATACAGCCTTGTCACTTGTAATACTAGCATCTGTGACTGGGGCTATATTTTGTGCACAGATTATTTGTGACACATTGAGACTTGCAGGGCTGATGTGGGGAGGGGTGGTGTAGATTTGCTTTGTTTTTGTTGGACTAAATGTACTTCAGATTTAAACTGTCAGGTAGTGAGACAATCATCAGCATTTCCCTTGCATAATATGTGCGCTCACCAAGGGATGGTCTGGAGAACCAAAGAAGGGTTCTGCGGACAGATCAGTGAGTCTAGTGAGGGCAGAAGGGGGATTTGACACTTTAAAAGCAACAGCTTGTGTATCTCTGATCTCACTGGACATCGAGGGCTCTGATCACCAGCCTGCACTGCACAGAATTTAGCTTACCCACAAAAATTGTTGTTTGTGCAACAGTTACATATTTACTAGATAGTTCACAGCTCTTCTAACATTTTGTGGAAAAGTTCGAACCTGAACATCAAGGAAAACTATCAACACTGTATATAGATAACAGTAATCATTACATTCCCTGAACTTGCTGACGTATACACTATCCGCTCCAGGGAGGACACCGAGGCAGTTAAAGCAGTAAGGAATTTGAGGGAGCAAGAAGCAGTGAACCAGTAATGGGGGATTCAATTCTGTATCACTCATTTCAATTCTCTGGGCTATCCCCGTTCGCATGTCTAGGTTCTCATGCCTGTCATCTAGACTGCAGAGAACCAACAGCACCCGGGTAAATACCTCCACCATTTACTTCACATATAATTGCTCCCTGTTTGGATAATTTTCAAGCAGGGCAATTTTTTTCAAAAGCACCGTAAAGAATGGAAGTGTTTGCTACAGTTGACCAATGGGAGACTTATATACTCTGTCTTTAGGATGCTGAAAGTGTGGCAAAGCCCTGGACCAACCAGTGTGGCCAAACCCTGGACCAATCAGTGTGGCCAAACCCTGGACCAATCAGGTTCAGCATTTGCAGCATTCAAAAATCATCTATTACGAAGTTCTAAAACCATTCCTTGTTTTGTGACCCCTGTAAGTGGTGAGTTATTCCACAACTCCTCAGAGGACTACCTACCATCTACCAGGAACTCTATGAGATGCCTGGAGCACAGCACTGAATATATAAACAGGCCCCTGTACTCAAGGAGCTTTTGTCTAAGAAGAATTAAGTACTTAAATTTAGTATCTGCTAAATAAATACTAAGAGAATGTAAATTAGTCACTGGAACACAAAGTTCCATTTTCTTGTTTTAAAAGAAAGTTGTCGTTGTTATTATTATTATTATTATTATTATTATTGCGTATGCATGCAGGTATGCAGACCATGACACATGTATGGGAGTTAAAGGACAACTTTCACTAGGCAGTAGTGGCACACTCCTTTAGTCCCAGAATTTGGGAGGATCTCTATGAGTTTGAGGTCAGCCTGGTCTACAAAGTGAGTTCCAAAACAGTCAGAGCTGCTACACAGAAAAACCCTGTCTTAAAGAACAAAAACAAAATCAAAACAGAACAAAAGGGCAATCTTCAGTTGATTTTCTCCTTCTATCATGGCTCCTGGGGGCCAAACTCAGATTGTAGGGCCCACATAGCAAGTGTCTGTCTTCACCTCTATTCTGCCAGTCCTGGAGTCCAAGCTTCTAACAAAAGATGAGACACCAAGTTTTCTTTTTAAAACAAAAGCCTTAAGCCTGAATAGTCTGAGCTACCTTAAAGTGGGCAAATTCAATGTCACCCAGTGTCAGAACCAATTTGTGGTAATCTTACAGCCTACCCTCCTACTGCAAGTCTTGTTGGGATAGACAGAGTAGAGTGGGCAGCTAGCTTGATGGCTGTGTACCCATAATTCCTTCAGTCCAGAGAGAAAGGCAGGGGAATCTCAAGTTCAAGGCCTGTCTGGACTACATGGTTAGTCTATATTGCCAAAAAAAAAAAAAAAAAAAAAGGAGAGAAGATTTGCAAATTAAACATTTCACTTATGAGTGTAAAATTATCTTTTTTAAAGCAAGTAACTATTCAAAACCATGTACTCTAAAGTTTTATCATGTAATGCCTCATGTATTATAATTGTGGTTACTCAAACTCAAGTATTTTTTATAATTTGGTGGTACGGTGTTCCACAAGCTCAACAGCAAATGACAACTGTTTGGTTCAACCCTATGAAAGCTCCCTGACAGTGTTACATTGGCTTACACTGACGGAACACTAAATCCAATGTTGTGCACCTTACTGAAGTCATTAGCTTCACAACTACAACCCAGAGCTATCAGGTTAAAACTTTAACTCATGTACATATTTCTTTTGTGCACAGAGTACCTACAGTCTGAGAATGTGAGACCCACCAGGTCTATATTCAAAATTAAACGAAGCAAACGGAACTGTTTGAGGATACAGAAGACAGAAAGATAATTTATATTAACAAGTAGTCAATATGCCAGTATGTATTTTTCAGGAGATCTAAAATACGATTTTTATACAAATATATATTGACTACATGCTAAAAATTTACTTAATTCACTAATAAGGAAAACATCACATGATGCACTTGTGTCAGTGAAGTGCAGGAGAGGCTGAATAGCCACCAAAAGCCATAATAATGAAATAAGATTTCTAGTGTACGGACCTGGAGGGATGGCTCAGAGGTTAAGTGCACTTCTTGCTGTTCTTGCAGACGATCGGAGTTCAGTTCCCAGCACTCATGTCTGGCAGCCTGTAACTCCAGCTCCAGTAGCTCTGATGCCTTCTTCTGGATACCATATATGTGCATGTATATACAACACACACACACACACACACACACACACACACACACACACACACACACACACACACCACACACCACACACGTCTTTTTTTTTTTAATGTGGCTTAATGTTGATGTCCCACTGGACAATTGAGACTATAACTTTATCAGGGTGTGTTAGCCTTTCCTCTGAACTGAAACATTCTCTCCAGAAAGTGGGAGGGCTGAGCTCATGAGAGCCAAGAACAAACTAACTTCTTCATTTCCAAAGTTCACAGGGGACCTTCCCAGAGCTATAGAAGCAGAAACCAACAGTTGGGGGAGAAGGCTGTTCCCTGCTGGTTGTGCACAGAGCTCGGGGATGTGGCTTTTGTCAGTAGCCACCCTTTGGGTGGGTAGATTATTTTCTTCGGTAATGCAGCTGTTCTGGGTCGTCCCTGCTTTATAAGTAACCCCACTAAAACTCACTGTCCACTAAGTTGGACTCTGGTGCAGCTTGTACTTTGTTCTGTTACAGGTTCCTTTATGGGGTAGCTAGTCATCTGTGTGTCCTCTCTCCCCAGGAAAAGTCTCTCCCACAAAAGAACATCACCTCTGTCACACAGAAGTCCTTTGTAGCTCACCAATTACACATAAAAACAGGGTTCTACTTAATAGTCAATAGTAACTTAGACAAAAGTATACTTAATTTAGGAATATGTCCAAGCCCATGTAACTGTTCCAGGGTAACACAGAAAGGACAGGTATTTATTTCATGCTCCCATCTCACTCCCACTGCACACCCGCCCCCTCAAGGTTTGGATTGTTTTCTCAAAGATTTTAAATGTTCAGTGCAATCCTGGCTGCTTCAAACTCTCCCATAAGGGACTAATCTAGACAGCAGCGTGCTCTAGAGCAGTTCATCTCAACCTTCCTAATGCTGAAACCCTTTAACACAGTTCCTCATGTTGTGGTGATCTGACCATAAAATTATTTTCATTGCTACTGCTATGAATTGTAACGTAATTATCTGTGTTTTCCAACGGTTTTAGTTGATGCCTGTGAAGGGTTTGCAATCAACAGGCTGAGGACTGCTGCTCTGGCGACTTCAATTACCCTGTAAAACCATCCAGAGGTGAACATTCACCTGCCCCCAAGAAGGCTGTAAAAGTCCTTAAATTTTTTTTTGTTTTCTTTCTTGCTTTTTGCCACATATGTGGCTTCTAGTTGGCTACAACAGAAAACCCGCTGCTTGCCCTGCTTCTAGT